TTTATTTATTTTTGTTTTTTTCAAGTAAAATTTTGTATATTTTACTTTAATCCCCCAGTATTTAGTTGGTTTTTAGTTCACCTGCCAACGTTTTTCGTCACGGTTTATCTTAAGGAGCTTTCAAGATGAAATGTGCCAAAAGATAGTCGTCGTTTGCAACATCATCCAGATGCAGCCGCAGAAATACCTGGAGCTGTTCTTGGAGACGATCACATGGCCTCCTTTTATGAAAAAATGGCGCAAAGACTTTACAATACTTTGGCATGCACAGTGTTTTGCATCTTCTCCTTTTTGTTTCCCGAAGGATTTCCTTTTCCGTACCTACCGATGTGAATAACAGATGGCATTGCATTTGTGTCTTTGCAGGTAGATGTCATAATTTCTGAGTGGATGGGTTATTGCTTGTTCTACGAATCGATGTTGAATACGGTCATTTTTGCGCGTGATAAATGGCTGAAGCCAGGAGGCGCTCTTTTTCCAGACAGAGCTAAGCTGTTCCTTTGTGCCATCGAAGACCGGCAGTATAAAGAGGATAAAATCAATTGGTGAGCATCTACTTCTTAGGAAGTAAATACATATTGGCGTATCGCCGATATGACTTATTCAAAAATTTATGTAGTTTGTAGTGAAATTGGTAAGTAAGTAAAAGATAAATGGCTCATTACATGTGGGCATTATTTAGCTGTGATAGACATACCTCACTGTAACACCAAGTATTCTAGACTAATGGTTCAGAGCGAATGTGTTGCCCATAAAGAGATTTTTCAAATTTGGCATGAATTTTAATCCGGATGTAGACATTCGAGCTAATAAGTTACCGTTTGTTGCCGGTCTTCCTGAGATAAGTTAATCCACTTGTAGGACAAATTAGTGTTGTGCGCATAACGTGCTAGAAGCCAAGGCTGGCTTCCCATCTTCTCCTCCTGACTTTCTTCCGCTCCTCCACTCCTCCTTCAAAAACTCAGAAAAAAGAGGGACGATTAGCAGTCATATAAGTATTTACTGTTGCTGGTACTTTAGATGGTTGCCTTTCTCAGTGAATAAAATGTCCATTGCGGGTTCAGTTGGATATTTTTGCTGCAAATTTATCTGTATTTTCTAGGTGGGACAATGTTTATGGTTTTAACATGTCCAGTATTCGACGTGTTGCAATCGCGGAACCTCTGGTCGATGTTGTCGATCATGCGCAAGTTGTCACGAATAACTACCTGATTTCCGTACGTTTTGACTTTTCTTGAGTCGAAACCGTGCGCAGTAATTTTGCAAGCGAATATTCTGGACA